TTGAATATATTGAGGCAGCAGAGTGCTAGTCTTAAAAACTGTTGTGTTGTAAAACCCACAGCATTACAAGAAAGTTTTCCTGTTACATAGATCCGTTTTTCTTTTTTTTTTTTTCTTATCACATAACACCAAGGCATTTTAGCAATGTTTCTGGAAATGCAAGAAAAGACAATTTTCCCAACTGACACAATCAAATAGCATCATATAATTACAATGGACTTTGGGGATTTTTTGCACTTATTCACAGGTGTACATATGTGCACATGAGCATACATACCATAGATAGTCTCTCTTTCTTTTGAATATCCAATGAGTGATTTTGCTGTTAGCAACACTGGTCTTCTTGCAGACCTTCCTATGCCCTTCTCCAAGCATTTGTGGCAAGAAATCATCCAAAGCAGTTACCAAGAGACAAAGTGGAACACTCTGTAGTAAACCCTTTTTCAGCCAGTGTGGATAGAAAGCTCGTGGGTTCTGATCAACGCAGCACTTTATTTCATAGAGAGTTGCTCAGTTTATTTGTAGATTTTCAAAAAGTAGATCACAAATAAGATGCATTTGATGAGAACCCTGTTAAACATACTTCAGTCTTTCTCAAGATGATTCAGAGGAACTTTGGGATCCCATGCTGCTTCTGAATCATCTGGGAACATCTGTTGTCTTTGTACTGTAGGATATGGGTGGACTGGTTAATACTGGCATCTGCTGAATTTTCACAGAAGGATCACATGGGTCGTTATGCTTTTATTACAATCCAGTGGCTGGTTAGGTATGTGTTTTACTAGCCATCAGCATTTCATATAGGTTTAAATCTGGTGTGTGGAAAACCAGAAATGTTAACATTTTGACTTCAACCAGAACATAGAGCAAAGCTTATACTATCATTTAGATAGGATCCTGTATACTTATCTTTTTGGACAAATTTTGCTTATGGTAAAATTAACACTCTCCTGCATTACTGGTGTTATAGACCTTTTTGGAGAGCATACTAAAAGCCTGTAAAACAAACATACTTTTATTTAACTCAGAAATTCTAATCTCTGAGAAATTTTCTTAAGTAAATAATTGCACAAATGGTAAAAATGTATCAATATTGATATCCTTTGCAGCATAATTTATAAGAACATTATGTTAAAAAAATAAACAAATAAGAACATAATGTTGAAAAAAATCTTAAATATCAAGCAGTAGAAAAAATGATCGAATAGATTATAGTACATCCATATAATTATATTTGGGTGTATTTATAAAATTTTATTATGTATATATGTTATTTATACATAAGATGTATAACATATACACATAATATACACATATTTAAAATACTGTTTCTGTTGACAAACTATTAATGTGTTAAAATTAGTCATAAATAAGGTAAATTAAAGAAACTTTATGAAATCATATTATAAGTGATCCCACTTTATAAAAAATGTAAATATCTATGTACAATAGGAAAATATTTTATAGAATATATCAAATGAGCACTATATTTGTACCTGGGTGGTATGATCTTAGGAAGATGATTTTTACTTTTGCCTTTATACATTTTGTATTATCTTGTTTTTAAAGTAATAATTCTATGCTACTTTTAGAATAAAACAAATTGAGTTTTTCCAATGTTGAATGAAGAAAAAAAATAAAAAGAGAATCTGTGATGAAGTATGAAATACAGGTTGCTTTGGAGCATGCCTAAAAGCTAAGGAGTTACAATTTGCTTTGCATGCTGAGGGCTAATGTAGGGAGTCTCACAGTTGAAGGATTTCCACACCTAGCAAGTTATTTGGTACAGACACAATTTCACTTATAAGTATAAAGTCAACTGATAGGTTCTTGAGTCAGCAACCAGGCATTTTATAATTGAAAAATAACGTGAAATCATTTTGACTCTTTTTGCTGCTGTCGTTCTTAATTTTGTAAACAATTTTGACTTTTTCCTTTTTTAGTAGTAGTAAAAGATCCCCTCAAACCTAGCTCTGATGACTGTAGAAAAGGGCCTACCAATGGAGAATGGTTGTCCATAAGTTTAAGCTTCAAAATGTGAAGAATTAGGAGAGACAGCGGGGATGATTGGATTGTTCAGGTCACTCCGCCCATGAGAAATCCAAGAGGAGGAAAGGTTAAGTGTGACCTGGCTGTGGTGGCAAATCTAGTTCGTGTCAGAGCTAAAAGCCAACAACATCCAGCCATGAAGGTTACCGAGTATGTAGAAGGAGAAAAATGGCAACATCTCAGATTTTTCCAATATAGTGGGAAATGAGGGTTTAAAGCTAGATTTCATTAGGAAAGGGAGAACATTTGCTTTTAGCATAGGGATGTCTCACATGGAGCTCTTGCTTGTCTTGGAAGAGGAAGGTCCCTGTAATAGCCACAGTCTCATGACTGATCCAGAGATGAAAAAGAGCAAATTAAGACTTTCTGTTTGATTAGTTTGGGAAGAAATCATGAAGGACTCATTCTCCCTGCTGTGGTTAAAGCTGTCCAGGGAGAAAGAAGCCAAGGGAGTATCAGGCCAAAAATCTGAAGGTTGAAGCCAAACCACTGGGAAGGGCTTTCGGCTGCAAACTACAATGTGATTGAACTAGAAAGGAACATTCGACTCATGTCATGTTGACACCTCAAACTCAACAAGTCTAAAGTTGAACTAATCTTTCCTCCAAAGCAGCTCCTTAACTGACCTTTTCTAACAACAACAACAACAACAAAAAATACTGCACTTTAGAATGCTTTGTCATAGCATATCCATTATTTCATGTAATTGCCACACGCCTACAGACAAGGAGATTTAGCTCAGGTCAATCAAGGGCCTGCAAGTACCTAAGAGATCAATTCTGAAAACCAAGTTTTCTGAATCCTAATCTAGTCATCCATTAACTTTACCACACTGCCCCTTCTCTTCATATTTGTGGAAAATTACCAGTTAGTTTTATAGAATTAGTAAGTGACACTTTATTTATATTGGCATTTGAGCATTGCACACTAGCGGATTTTAGTAAGTATGAAGTCAGATTTTCTAAAGTAGCAAGGAGCAAACCAACCAGCCCTTGAATCGCTAATCTTGTTTTTTATAAGATACCTAGATGAAAAAAATACATAGCCTTCTTGTTATTGAAGTCAAAAGATAATACAGATAAAATGAGGTACTAGAATTGTCCCAAAATGATCAATTTGTGAATTTAACATGAGCCAAATCATCATTGTTCACATTAGATAACTGATTGCTGATATAAAGTGTATGCTTCCAATGTCATTTTTTTTTAAATTTAAAAAGTATTTGGGTTTTATAGTTTTAAGAATCTTGAGTGTGTTCTAGAAGCTGCCATGGAACATTGCACCTGTTGTTAACAATATTGTATTATATACTTAAACATTTATTAAGAGAGTAGATCTCATGTTAAGTATTTTTACCATGATTAAAAATAATAATTTCTAATATGAAACATTTATGTATTTGGATTTCTTTTTGTAGATATGTAAGTAACAAGAAAAAATACTTTAACTTTCCACGGTAAAAAGTGGCCCTCTATAATTCAGCCTCATCCACAACCCCCATCAATCCACCAGGCCCTGGGCGGGGCAGCTCTCCCCTGGTCTTCTGTATCTCAGTGTATATTACACCTTCAGAAGAAGCCAAGTTAACCATCCAGGCCATTTCCTCTTGACTTTGGGCATCTGTAGTTGCAAAGCCTCAATTCTTCACTTGGAAATAAATATGAGAGGAAATATACCTAGCGCAACGATACTGATTGAAATTTCCCCAAATAGGCATTTGCTTCCAGTGAAACTGTAACTAAGTAACATACACAAGTGGGGAGTCTCCTGTGGGTTTTCAACCTGCCTCAGCTCTTAGGCTTCTGTCTAAATATACACCTGTGGGCCACTGTGAGGTAGAAGACACTGCTGCAGCATGGTTCAGAGCATAGGAGGGTCCTTAGAGCCACCTCTTCAAAATGCACTGACGTTGAAGCTTCTGAACGCTAGTCAATAACACCTCCCCTCTCCAGTGAAAAGAACCTGAAAGGAAAAACAAAATCTAACCAAAAGACCCCTGATTTCAATTCTCTTGAGCAATTTTGGCTTATTACACCAAAGTCTTGGTTTGTAACTTGATTCTTTTCTTAGCTTTGTGACAGTGCCTCTACAAGTATTTCACACAACATACTGAATCCTTTTTAATAGGTCTTTGATTATTTTTGGTTCAATACTTTGGATTTCTGCTTCTAAATTTCATGTGTGATAACTGGCTTAAATCAAGAAATCAAAATATGCTAACCCAACAGTCTCCAAAGGCAGTCTGCTTTTACATAGATTTTTTTAGGTTACCTGATCATTGTGGATTATCCTCTGTAGTTATTGTATAATGCTTTTCAAGTATGAAAAAGGGGGATAGTAGGGGATAGGAAAGGTAGCAGAATACAACAATTACTAATTGGGCATTATGTAAAATTGTGGATGTGTAACCGACGTGATTCTGCAATCTGCATTTGGGGTAAAATTGGGAGTTCATAACCCACTTCAATCTAATGTATGAAATATATGTCAAGAGCTTTGTAATGTTGTGAACAACCAATAAAAAAATTAAAAATTAAAAAAAAAACAATGGAAAAAAAAAAGTATGAAAACTAACTGGGTGCAGTGGTGCATGCCTGTAACCCCAATGGTTCAGGAGACTGAGGCAGGAGGATCACAAATTCAAAGCCAGCCTCAGCAAAACCAAGGTTCTAAGCAAATCAGTAAGACCCTATCTCTAAATAAAACAAAAAATAGGGCTGGGGTTATGGCTTAGTGGTTGAATGCCCCTGAGTTTAATCCCCAGTATCCCCCCCTCAAAAAAAAATTATTGAAAACTAGACAGTTGGTCCTCCAAGTTTAGGAACAGAATCATCCTGTAAGACCCCTGTGGTGAGGTTCGGCAAAGGGACCAGGGCTGTTCCTGCTAAGAAGTCGATGAACACATTTTTGCAGCTGGCCTTGCTCAAGAGCTTGTCTTTGTGATGTTCCAGAATTGCCTATCAGAGGAACGACGATGACGAAGAAGAGGCAGCGCGGGAACGTCGCCGGCGAGCGAGACAGGAAAGGCTGCGGCAGAAGCAAGAGGAAGAATCCTTGGGACAGGTGACCGACCAGGTGGAGGTTCACACCCCGAACAGGTACTGCCCTCTTTGAATGGAGAATTTCTCATTGCATCTTAGTCTGGTTGTTGAACTAAAATTACCTGAGAAAGGAAAGCAAGGCATTCCTTTTCAGCCCAGCTCAACCCTTTTTCAATCTCTCTTGATTTGGCCAAAGATCAGGTTGGACAGTCAGTCTGATCTAGACATTCGGACACCTTCATTCCCTAAACACACACACACACACACACACACACACACACACACACACACACACTTCATTCAATCCCTAAACGTACCCCCAGTGAAGGCTTTTATTTTGTTTCATAATCTGGTATTTTAAAAATTTACTAAGTACAATGGATTATACTTTTAAATAAGTATATTCCTTTGTAGCATATTGCTATCTTTTTTGAACTGAAGATCAACTAGTTTTAATAGAGACTATGTGCCTACCAATAATAGATGACTCTTGAATTTTAAAAGTAGGTATGAATGCAGATGTCTTCTTTTTCTTAGCATAAAGCCCAAACCAATATTATCTGTGGTATTTAGAGAGATGATTAATTTATTGTGACTGTTTAAACTTGTTTAACACGTTTACTATTAGAATTTTTTCCTACTCAGGCCCTGGTAGAAATTAGAGTTGAGAATACCTAATAGGTTCAACTTCTTCAAACAGGGCCTTTATGGGGCTGGGGTTGGGGCTCAGTGGTAGAGCCCTTGCCTAGCACATGTGAGACACTGGGTTTGAGCCTCAGGATCACATAAAAATACATAATTAAAATAAAGATATTGTGTCTAACTACAACTAAAAAAAATTAAAAATAGGGCTTTTAAAATAGAAATAGGATCACATGGTTCATTTTGTTAATGGTTATTGTATGTCATTTATTTGCACCAAGGTCTAGAAAATATAAAGGATATTTAGAGAAAAAAATCATTTTAATTTAAAACTGTGAACTGCTTAAATAAATGAAACCTTATTATAAGGTCTTGCATGTGGTTTTGTTTTGCATGAATGTTTTATTTTGTTGATGTTTGGAGGGAGCTGTTGATAGCTCCTTTAATTCAGCCTATTCAGATGATTATGAAGGAAAAGGGTCATGACTTCTGGGGCTTAAATTCGAACAGTTCCATCAGATTTCTAAGGTTATCTTGCAAATGCTCATAGGCAGAGTCAATTCAATAAGGAAACTTATTGGCAAGGTAGAAAAGTAGAAACCTTGACCCTTGATGAGCAGCTCCAATGTAATTAGGGAGGAAGTCCAGCAAAGGGGACCACAGGTATGATGTCCAGGGCTCACTAACTGCCTTTGAATCCCAAATAGATGCTTTGTAAACTGTTTCTTCACCTGAATAGAAATAGAAATAGAAGTTATACCTTTCCCCTAAGAATAATGTTAAACTTTTTTTTTTTTCAGTACTGGGGATTGAACTCAGGGGTTCTCTACTTCGGAGTCATGTCCCCAGCTCTTTTTATTTTTATTTTGAGACAATTTCTCACTAAATTGCTGAGGCTGGCCTTCAACTTGTGACCGTCCTGTCTCAGTCTCCTGGGTAGCTGTTATTACAGGGACCACCATGCCTAGCTCTTTGTTTCTTTCTTTTTTTAAGGGAAAGCATATTCAGGTCTGAGAATATGTGACTTATCTCTAACATATTCATTAACCTAAGAAAAATAAGTCTTCTTGGAAATAAATGGCTCTCTCACTTGACATCTACTGATGATCACTGTCATGACTTGTACAAATACAAAGATAAGTTTTAACAGTCTGTTGGTTTCTTAACTTCTTATTTTCATCTGGTTAACATTTTGGAATTTGGGGTAGCTTCTTAAAAATTATTAGAATTCAGTTGATTCAAATGCTTTATTTTAGGCGTTTCCCTGTAAGTTCTGAATTCTTTGTATTTCCGTGGACAGTTAGTCCTTATATATCTAATTCATGTGGACATTGTCCTACAGCAACAGCAAAGGCCAAGAAAGTTTGAAATCTAGGGTTTACTCTGCCATATTTTGTTGTTAAATATGAAATATGTTTTTCCAAAGTTAAGTGAACTTGAACATCAAAAGGGCCAAGTTTCCTATGAACCATGAAATTTGATGGAGTTTCTAAACATTGTAAGGCATTCACTTCCAACTCTGGTCACAGTTCTGGTATTACATGACTGATTGTGTCCTGCCAGTGGAGGCCAACACCCTTGGATTGGGCAGTGACCAGCATCTTCCAAGAGTGAGTGAGATGATGAACATTGTTCAGTTTGGGTTTTAGAAATTTTTCCCTTTTTAAAAAAACATTAACTATAACTGCCTTTTATTCACTGTGGAGAAGAAGGACAAGAAACCCTTTTTTCTTGGAAATCTTGACAAAGAAGGTAGATAGTCTATATGTTAGTCGGGGTACTGCTGCTACTTTGACAATGAGCCCCCACATTTTAGTAGTTTAATATGATACATAAGTCCACTTTGGGTATTTCTGTCCCGGTCACCATCTTCCTTTCTTTTATGACTCTGTCAATCCCTAGGGATTTGGAGTCTTCTGACCCAGCCAACAGTCAGAGATAGAAAGGACAGAGAATGGACCTGTGCTTCTTTCTTAATTGCTTTAGTTTGGACATATCACTTTTGCTCATATTTCATTGGCAACTATGGGTCACATGGGCTGCCTAGGCACAAGAGGAGAGAGTAAGAAATCCAATCCTTGATTGGCAAACATCCACGGCACTTTTAGCGTGGTGAGTAAACTCCACTGACCAGAGCAAAGAATTACACATGCTGTTAGTTGAAAATCAGGCAGGTGTGTATGTACTGAAGTGGTGACATCCAGGGGCATATGACACGGTACTACTTACCTCCGCTCTAATCCCGGGGGGCACTGGCTATATGAATGCAGCTCACAGATTAATCAGAGCAAGTTGCCTTTGGTGTTGTTGTCTCCATTGTACAGTGTCCCGGACGAGGAGTCCAAGCCAACCGCCACCAACACTCAGGTGGAGGGCGATGATGAGGCTGCCCTCCTGGAGCGTCTGGCCCGGAGAGAAGAGAGACGCCAGAAACGTCTTCAGGAAGCCCTGGAGCGGCAGAAGGAGTTCGACCCAACCATCGCAGATGCCAGCCTGTCCCTCCCCAGCGGAAGAATGCAAAATGACACAGCTGAAAACGAGACTGCGGAGAAGGAAGGGAAAAGAGAAAGTCGCCAAGAGAGATACGAGATAGAGGAGACGGAAATAGTCACCAAGTCCTACCAGAAGAATGACTGGAGGGATGCCGAGGACAAGAAGAAAGACGAAAAGGAAAAGGAGGAGGAGGAGGAGGAAGAGAAGCCAAAGCAAGGGAGCGGTGGAGAAAATCAGGTAGAGGCGAGGGTGGCAGAGAGCACAGCAGAAACCCAGGAGGAGACAGTGGTACCGGCCCTGAAAAACGGGGACCTGGATGCAGAAGAGTCTCAAGTGGAGGAGAGGGAAGGAGGCTCAGAGGAGGCTTCTCATAATGAAAAGATGGAAGGGGAAGAAAGGCAAAGAGCCGAGGCAGAGAGGCTGAGGGTGGAAGCAGAAGAAAGAGAAAGAATTAAAGCCGAGCAAGAAAGACAGAGAGCGGAGGAGCAAGCAAGAATAGCAGCAGAAGAAAGAGAGAGGAGGGAGGCGGAGGAGAGGGAGAGGGTAAAGGAGGAGGAGAGAAGGGCGGCCGAGGAGAGAAGGGTGGCCGAGGAGAGAAGGGCGGCCGAGGAGAGGCAGAGGGCCCAGGCAGAGGAGGAGGCGAAGGCTAGGATAGAAGAGCAAAAGCGAAAAAAGCAGCTAGAGGAGAAGAGGAATGAAATGCAAGAGACAAAGATGAGAGGGGAGAAAGCAGAAGAGAAAAGAGAAGGGAAGAGGGTCAATGAAAAGAAAGTGTCCGAAGATAAACCTCAGACAGCTGTCCTAAAGAAACAGGTACAGTGAGCATTTTGCACCCGGTGTGTGATGCCTGTGACTTACGAGAAATGTAATGCACATCAAATTTGGGACTGAGGCCACGTACACACAGCCCCACGTGCTCAATCAGTTGGCAAGCTAGTCATTTTTTTTTTTTTCAGGTCATAGCAATGCACAAGCATGAAGCAAATGATTGCAAGCTAACTGTGCAGTCCATGGGACAGTCAGAGAGAAATCAATTGCTCTGTGCTTGGTTGTTATGAATACCGAAAAAAAAAAAATGAAGGAACCCAAGGATGATGAATGTGGTGGTGCTGTGTTGACTGCTGTTTCGGCACCTGCATCTGAACTCATTCCTTTTGAATCTTTCCTGTATCTGTAGGTCTACATGAGGCAAGAGACCCAAAACTCCTCATCTCACATGTAGATTCGATATTAAATGATTATAAACTTAAGGGTGGGGAATTCACATGAAGCATTATGGTCAGACATTTCATCCTAAGAAGGCAAACTTAAAGCCTGAGGGAGCCATTTGGAACCTTTTGTGGGAAAAAAAAAATACACCTCAAAACTCTGATTTGCCATCATGTAGACCTGAGCTTAATGTGAGCTTGCAGAAAGCAAGGTAGTATCAGTAACTGGTGGGAAATTAAGAGCACACATTTTGCTCCTTTGACCTTCTAGGTGACACGAATTCATGTGAACCTGAGGAAGGATGGGAATAATGGAGGTGGGAAGAATGTTTGTAAACTGCAAAAACTTTTTGCTTTCTGCAAGGCTGCATTCAAGTACTGTCCCTAAGCACCACCACTGTTCCCCAAACCACAGGGAAAAAAGAGATGCTTGCATGTGCACCTTTCCAGAGCGACCTCTCTGTCACCAACTCCGCACTGCCTGCAGTTGTCTTTTCACTCCTGCTTCTCTACAAGGGGCTCATGCACATGGCTATAATTGAGAAGATCATAAACGAAGCGCACCCAGCCACACACACAAGGTTTGTAAACACACACGAGGAGAGCACCATGTCACGCTAGATTCCAGTGAGCACAATTAGAAGGCACACTAGAGAAATTGAGTGGGAAGAAAGTATCCCACACTGCTATATAGAATCACTGACACCAAGGGGTGTAAGCACCCACTAAGACAGCCAAGGAAGCTGTCCCACAGCACCTGCTGAGTGATGTGTGCACCCTCTCACCCTTGCAAGCTAGAAAGGGGCTTCTTTTACACGAGTGACCTTAACCATTCTTGAAAATGAAAAGGAAGAAGAAAAGGGAACAAAAGGGCAAGCTCAAAGGCAAAAGTCCCAAGAAGACAAGCCTACCTTCAAAAAAGGAGAGGTAAATATTATTGAGAATGCAGCAGAGAGCAGTGTTCCAGGGTCTCTCAGTTCCCATGATTCTCAGGATTCTAACCTCTAACCCGGTGTTTTTCAAGCCACAGCTCGTGATCCATGAGATCAGCTTAGAACATCTCAAAATTAGTTAATCAGCATTTTAAAAAACGAAAAGGATAGAAGGTATCAGAAGGCATCATGGGTAGTAAGTATTGCATTGTTTTAGAAATTGTCTTTCTTACTGTGGGTCATAGCCAAAAAGGCTTGGAAAACACTGCCCCAATCAGTCTTTCCTGCTTTCTACCCTTCTAAGTGCTAATTCCCCGCCCCCCTTGATCCATTCTACTTGCATTTCAATCGTGAGATATTCCCAACTGGTCTTGATTAATGCTTTGACTTTTCCAAGGGAAAACACCTCCCCACACACATCTCAGTAGAAAATTTGGTGAACTGAGGATGGTAATTTTGTTTTCAAAAGAAAATTTTGGCAAAATGTTCTGCATTGCATTTCTGAGGCGCACACCAGAGCAGGTGCTGGGTGTCGGAAGGTAGGTAAGTAACGAGCCTGAGGCAGACAGAATGTCACAGGGCCCAGCAATCAGTGTGCCACCATGGAAAGCCTGACCTCATTTTAACCACTGAGCTTAGGTTAGACCCAAATAACTCTATAAACTGTGACTATAAGTAATGGTTAAAAGTATTTGAATGGGGTAAAACTGAATCATTCAAGGCAGAAAGAACCGAATGGCTTTGCCCGTGAGACTGATAAAGAAAACTCAAACAGAAGGAAAATTCAAATTAAGAAAATAGATGATCGGAATAAATAAATAGGGAGTGGGTTATTAAATAAGTTTTATAAGATTCATATAAAATATAAGAGTCCTTAGTTGATATCACATATTATATTTACTTTAAGATCTATGTCCTCCTGTGTTTCTAACAGATGTTGTGATGGTTTGCAGGAGTGAACACTGAACGTGAGCACTGCCCATCTAAAGGAAGGAGAGAGTGTAAATGCTAATAGGGAAACTGAATTTAGCTCTAACAAGGCAGCTCAGAAAACAGTTGAACACGAAGGGAAAAGATTTCTCATTTAGTGACAGCACTTACAAATTCATCTACAAAAAAAAAAAAAAACAAAAAAAAAAAACCCTCAGCAATAAACTCAAATAGAAATGTCCCACAGGAGATCTTCTGCAGAGCTGCAGTTTCATGGTAAATACTTTTAACTCACAGAAGCAAGCAGGCCTGAGTCATTAACCTGTTAATTGACTCAACACAAAGGGGAAGGGAGGCGCAGAAACCACCATTAGGATCCTATATGTAAAGTTTAATTCAGTGCACCATGATGTGGTTTGTTTTTAATGACCAAAGCATTCTGGGCCTACATAGGGTGTCCCTGAGCTACAAAGGGCTCATCAGAGGTGAATAAAAATCATCCTTTTCCATCCTTCCTATAAGGTCCCAGTTCAGCAATGTCTGCAGTATCAGTAAGATACTCCAGGGAATAGTTTCAGGCTGCCTCTTTCCCAGTCTTCCCCACAGCACATTCCAGTGTCTTGAAGCTTTGGCTTCTTTTTTTGTATAAAGTCAGATAAGCTCCTCAACCCGGCTTTTTAAAAACAACAACAACTGTACTCATGTTTTAACACTATAAAGAGAAACTGCTGATTAAGTGACAGGGTTTTCCTTTCTAGCTCATTTTGTGGCTGCTTTACAGAGGTGACTTGAAATCATTTTACCTGATCCAGCCATTGAAACAATCTCTTCCTATTCCTTTTTATTTTTTGTGTGTGTGTGTGTGTGGTTCTGGGGATTGAACCCAAAGCCTTGTGCATGGGAGGCAAGCATCTACCAAATGAGCTATGTCCCCAGCCCCCTATTCTTTTTAATTAAAAAAAAAATCACACAAAGACAAGCTGAACCCTTTGGTGGCAGGCATCTAGGTGGCATACACAGATGGATCAGCCACAAGTAAACACAAACATCACAGGAGCTTTCCCAGCGAAGACATTTCCAGAAGTCACTCCAGTGCCCTACAAAACAAAAGCAAACAACAAAACCCCCTGTCTGCCTCCGCTGCAGTTTAACTCTGCTTGTGGTGGGAGTGGGGTGCAGATGATGGACAACCCTACAACTTAATTTAGCTCTTTCTCTCCAATTACAAGGAGCTAATTCCTCACTAATGAGCTAGTTGTTTCTGGGCTCCAACCTAGAAACAAAGTTTCTAGCAGTAGCAGACATCCAAACATCCGGGCCCACACTTCCCAATGTGCAGACAGATCCATCACCCAGGAATCGTGTTAAACGCAGAATCAATTTAGGGGCTCTGGGGTGGAGTCTAAGCTCCCTGGAGGGACCATGTTGTCTTTGGACTAAACTTGCAGTAACTAGGAGTCCAGAGGACATCCATGGGATAGAAAAGGTCTTGGGGCTTCTAAAACTAACAAAAACATATTAAACCTGAACTGAAAAATTCTAACTTGCCTTCAGCTCTTGGGGCTACTCTGATATCAAATCATTCAAAGCAATATGTTATAATCCTTTTCTGCTTGCTCCTTGGATCTTTTGAGTATCTCTCTGGCACAAGGGCATGCCACTCAAATTCCCCAACCCTGCACACCTGTGTTTTATCCCACTGGTTGGATATCCCAAAGATTCAGAATTTTGTCCCCATGATCACATTTGGTCAGAGCCTTTCTTCCAAGTACACTACTGTTATCTGTGAACAAAGCACACTATCTCCTTCAGGACACTAGGTGACCCAGCAATTCCTTCAGCCTGAAGGTTTTTTATGGTAACATTCCAACCTAGAAAATCTAATTATCTTACCGAGGGGCTCAGAATCCCCTGGGCTAGTGCCACAACTGTCATAGAATAAAATTCACTGTATTCCTTAAAATAAGATTTACAGGATTTTTAGAGTTACTTTATTCATTTGGAAAATAATGTCCAAAATCAAATTATTATTATTACATTGAGAATGTTTCTTAAAAAGTTTTCGAAGGAGAATATAAGCATAACATAATCTTTGCCAATAAAGGCAGAGCTTGAAAAAATGGAGGAAGGCCTTTTTCTTGTCTTTGATATCAATTGTTTTACAGATTTATTTTAAACACCTTTTTGGTCAGTAAATCTGATAAATACATTTTGAGAGAATGGAAATATTTCTCACTGAAAAATAAGAGAAATGAATTTAAAGAAATTTCTCCATAGTGCTCCACAAACCGTGAGATTTGACTCACGGGGTATCCCTGAAGAGTACCCCTAAATTCTAAATCTGTTCCCCTAGATACTTTTGTTTGTTTGTTCATTTTTGGTACCAGGGATTGAACTCAGGAGCACTTGACCACTGAGTCACATCCCCAGCCTTATTTTGTATTTTATTTAGAGACAAGGTCTCATTGAGTTGCTTTGTGCCTCACTTTTGCTGAGGCTGGCTTTGAGCTTGGGATCCTTTTGCCTTAGCCTCTGGAGCTGCTGGGATTGTAGGCGTGTCCCCTAGATACTTCTTAACCAGGGTCTAAGCTTTAGTCCCTGCTCTCTGGGGCTCTAACAATGGTAGGCCAGGATGAGAAAATGTTCTGCCTACTCCTGCCTTTTCAGTGAACACTGATTTATTGTTTGGCAAGGACAGCCACCAAACAGCCATCATCGAGCAGTGTCCTTCTGCTGTAGCCTCTCATGACTAATCAGGAGCCAAGAGGAAAAAGATAGGGTGAAAGATTAGGAAGATCTCATACAACCCTCTCTTTTCACATACCTGGGACCAGCATCCCAGAGCCTTGTTCAAGTAATACAATTAGGTTGTTAGCAGCACTGGGACCCAAATCAGGTCCCTTGAATGGCACAGAAATCCCCCGAGAGTGCTCAACACCCCAGTTCCCCTCTTTGGCATTGCCAAGGGACATCCTATTACATCCCTCTTGGAGAAAGATTAAAGTCTTAGCTAATTAGGGCAATCTCATAGTGAATTGTCCACCCCTGGCAATTTAAGAAATCACACTCAAAGAAGATAATCCAACAAAGGTCTGTTGAAATTCAGAGCAGGAAAAAAAAAATGTACTCTGCTTTGCAAAACGAGTCTTTTAGGAGTAGATGTTCAGAGGGTGTTGAAGAATAGTTGGAAACAGGTGTGGGAGGCCAGGTGTGAAGAGCAGAAGCACAAGTTCCCATGGTCTCCCCTTCCTCTGGAGGATTCGTTAAAGCATTAGAGTTCTGTGACTCTTCACTTGTAAAAACAATAATGAACTTCACCTGGCTTCACACTTATATTTTAAGAATGAGTGAGATGATGTAGCCGTGGTTTGAGTTCTTTTGCCCCCTACCTAATAAAAGCTATGTCAATTCAGTTTACTTTGAAATAATGTCTCCCGCAACCATCACAAAACGAATTCCAGAGGACTGAATTTTTCTTAGCAACAGAAGTCAAGGTGAATCCTGGAATTATTCGCATTCCACCTCTAACTTTAGTGGTTTCCACAACTACAAACATGGTGTCATATGTCTCTTATGTCCTCACACTCAAGGTGGGTTCCTATGTGTTTCATCCTTGGTACCCAGTTACTCATTAGAATAAATTACAAGGGTGGTGTTCTCCAGATTTGGCTTGGTAGATCTTCTCTTCTTTCCTCCTCACCTGTGTCCTTGTCAAAGATTCACTGTCCATCCCAGAAGAAACCTGGCCAAGCAACCTGACCATTCTTCCATCAAAACCACACCAACCTCCCAGTGGGAACCACAGACAACTACTCTTACGTGGAGTTCCCAGAACTTAATGGTTTCCAAACAGCATATCCCCACTGGTCTCCAAAATAAAAACCCCGGTGAGATCAGGGATGATATTTACTTCCTTATGGTCAAAGTCTTTGCCTACAGGCTAAAAGACCACAGCTCACTCTCCAAAAATGTCCTCTGACCTCAATTCTACTACACCATTCCCCAGGTGGTGGTTCTGCTTCTGAGTTTGCTGGCTTCCTAAAAATGTTGGGTCTTATTTGGTAATAACAACCAAAACCTAGTAAGATTCTCATCGTTATGTTTCTTCCTAATATGTACTTTTTGTTAGATCAAAGATGAGAAGATTAAAAAAGACAAAGAGCCCAAAGAAGAAGTTAAGAGTTTCTTGGATCGAAAGAAGGGATTTACAGAAGTGAAGTCACAGAATGGAGAATTCATGACCCACAAACTTAAACATACTGAGAATGCTTTCAGGTAAGAGGTAGTGACTAAGTTAACAATGACTGTGTTCACGTGTTGGGGGAAAAAAAAACCCAGTCTCCCTGTCCTGTGCCTCCAGACAGAAACGTGCTAAACAGGCAACATTCTTTGGTTACAAAGTCATTGACCATTGTCTTAGAGATACACAGTCAGCAGGTCTGTCTCTCGAGGCACCAATGGGAGACCAGCAGTCATTGCTCAACCAGGCTTAGTCTGCTTTTCCTTTTTTTTTTTTTGCAAGGCAGATCATGCTTGGCAACCATGTTCCTGTTCACTGACCTAAAATGCTCATGTGACATCAGTCTGTTAAAAATATTGTGACCGGGGTTAATATCATTGGTCCATTCTCTATGTGGTCTGGCCAATTTCATAAAAGACCTTTCTCAGTACCATTTTCATGAATTCATTTTTTAAGGGTTTAAATGTTACATAAAGCTCAGATTGTTTTATAGACAAATACTTGGGAAACTAAGTCACATTGTCAAATCCCTGAATGTTCATTTGCTTTGGGAATCTCTAAGAGAGAGGGCGAGGGCATGGAACTGCTGCTCCATTTCAAACAGTCTGGAAAAGTCTGGTATAGCTTCACATTCTCTCTCCTCACACATTGCCTCCCTATCATATTGAAAATCCAGGCAATTGAATTATAGGACAGAACAGACCCGTATATGCAGGTGAACCCTCATTTCTTTGGTACAGGTAAACACAGATACGTCCATCCGTTTTGTAGAAGGACTCAGGTGCAGAGATTCTCTGCCCCATCACACACTCATTCCTCCTACCACTTGTGCCAAATACCAACCTCTGTTATATCCCTGGCTGCCAGGCCAGATGTGCTGCAAAAGAGTTTGGGGTTTCTACGGTATGGATTTCCATGTGGCTGGTCTTTGGCAGCAGCCTACCTGTAGATCTTGCTTTTCTGAGCACTTCAAATAAGAAAATCACTAAGGAGGTATTATGTACAAGTTAGACTTGCTTCTTACATCAAAGTCTTTGTAACATTCAGAAGGGTTAGACTACTAGCAATGGACATTCCAGGCTCAGCTAAGAGGCTAAGATGTGTAAACCTAAGTGTCCCCGGAATACTTTTTTTCTATTTAACAGTCTGAGTAGAAACTTCGTTACATTTATGAGCCTAAAACACTCAGGATAAAGGTATGCATAAAAGACCTAAAGACAACTAGGAGGGAAAAAGAAAGAAAACTTTATGACACTACTTGGAACTGAGAAGGGAGTCAATGTGACAATTAAGTTATTGGAAATTCATAGAAAATCTACAAAGCAAGTTGATTTACGCTGGTAAACTGAATCCAAAACTTGCTGCACTAGCTGTAGTTTAATGGTTTAAAGTGCTACTGGAGTGTCAGACTCGTGAAAAGCCATGACTATGACTTAATATCATTATATTTTTATTACTTGATTGTTTAAACTATGTTTTATAAGTAAAAGTTTTTTCTTAAGAGACCAGGTTTATTTTTGTCAAGAGAAACAATGTTCAAAAAAAATCTGTCTCTAGAAAGAAGTTTGGTTAACCTTTAGCAAACTTGCCCAGGAGCTTCAGTCAAAGCCCAAATTAATAATTAGCATGCCTATTGTGTGGAGATCTAAAGAGCTGGATAATTCAAAGACAAGAAAAGTCACAAGAGATGGCAACAAGCGTTAAGAATGCTTGAATGTGACTCAGACCTTAGATTTTCCTTCTTTGGACAGACAAAAAAAAAAAAAAACTAAGGGAACAGATTGTCCTCATGTTATTCTTGTTTGCTCATCTACCATCGTCCACAAGCTTTCATGCCAGCTAGGAGGTGATGCTAACAGAAGCAGAGAAGCCTGGTTTTGCTCCACATTGTATAAAATGAGAAGCAAGGAAGGTAGTAAAAGCTTCATCTCTCTTCGCTTAAATGAAAACAAGCCGTGTTCCCAGTGGCCAAAGGCCTCATGTTCATGCTGAGTTAAACCTAAAGAAGCCAAAGATAGGAGAGAGAACATTATGGAAGATGTTTCCTTGCTGAGAGCCTACAGCACACATAGGTAGAGATGAAGTGGCCAAAGTCTTGCTCTTCTTTTGACCAGGGTTTGTTTTGGTTTTCTTTTTTTAAGGTGAGAATCAAAGTTTTTTTCCCTGATTATCAGTAGCATTTTTCCAGATATTTTCTATGTATATAGCACTCAAGATAGACACACATATGTACTACAGACCCACATATGTCTACATGTGAATATAATTATAAATATATGTTTTAAATGAGTCTTGCACCTTACAAAACAATGTAGTATAGCTAGCTTTCTATACCAAAAAATATGAACGTACATTTGTGGTGTTACAGTTCACTGGATGAGGCATTATGACTTACTTAATTAGTCCCCAATGAAGGACCTTTTGATTGTCCAAAATGAAGACTGAGCGCCACCTAGTGGTACCCAGAGACGTTTCCATTAGGCACGTTGCCTTGTCCAGCCCCTGCACAGTAAGATGGTTAGGAGAGAGTTTTTAAGCAAAGACGGAAAGACCTTAATGAACTGAGAGAGGCCTGGCAGGAGTGTGAATCTGTAAGACTCTGAAAGAGCAACATTAAGTTTAAAAGACCCTCTAAACTTGTTTGAATTCAAAATAAAAGAGTTTATCTTTAACAGTCAAGAAACTAGAATAATATTTTTAAACTTTTTCACCTCGGTCCATAGTAAAGAACAAATTTTGTAGCATGACCCACTACACACGTGTATATTTATAACTGAAACAAGTCTGTCAAGAAATGGTGCTTTTTTTCTCCATGCCATGTACTCTGATATTTTCTCTTTCATTTTTAAAATGCCAGTTACAAACTACTAAATTGATCTTTTGATCTGCAGATAGGAAAACATTCTGAGGCCATGATAGAGTCAGAACTACCTCAGTTTTTAAAAATATGAGGTGCACAAAATAAGATCAATATTGTATAATGTGTACCTTTAACCCATTTGTTTTTTATTTGTCCTCTTGCTCCATAGCTAGAAATACTGTGCCACTCCTTTTATTCTTTTTTATTTGTTATTTTTAGATACATATGACAGTAGTGTGTATTTTGACATATTATACATACATTGAGAATAACTTATTCTAAATAGGATCCCATTCTTGTAGTTGTACACGATGTGGAATTACACTGACCACGTATTCATATATGAACACAGGAAAGTTATGTCAGATTCATTCTACTGTCTTTCCTATTCCCATCCCCTCTCCCTTTCCTTCATTTGTGCCACCCTTTACACAGAATAAATGATATTAGATAGTGGTGATTCTTTTGTTCCTTAGACAAAGTTATCAGGGATGGCTACCTACGTCTAGATCTTCTTAATATTTGTTAATTAGAGTTTAAATAGCAGACATGCAACATCCTTGTCTTTCAATTAAGAGTACCTGTAACAAGCCTCTTTAAGCTCACTGCTAAATTCTCCTAAATAAAGTCCCAACAGAATCCTATCTGCTTTAGTGAAAACAGAGTGTTTCATGGAAGTTCTCCTGTGAGTACTAACATGTGCCAAAGTCAGCAGTAGTCCAACTCTGTTAACAGAGCAAATTTATTAAAGGAGTTCAGAGTCAGTAGTTGACCATGATGTTGTTCCATCTTTTCCTGTGATCCTTGTAAAATATTAAGAATGCTAGTTCTGGGGGCTTGGGTTGTGGCTCAGCGGTAGAGCGTTTGCCTAGCATGTGTGACGCCCTGGGTTCGATTCTCAGCACCACATACAAATAGGTTAAAAAAAAAAATTCATCAACAACTAATAAAAATATTTTTTTTTAAAAAAGAATGCTAGTTCTGAATTAAACTTTCACACAGGATTCAGGATAGCATTCTATCTTTAGCCTTAACATGTTTCCAGTTCTGTCATGAAATTCCTGTGGGTCCTCCTTAGTTCCAAAGAAAAATTCAAGCTTCAGTTTCAGTCCCATCTTCTTCCTGTTTTATAAGCTGAGCTATCTGATAAAGCATTGTTTGACTCAGGTATGGAAGGTGGGTAGGTTTGGACTAGAAATTCTAGAGACTCTGAGATAAGACACATCACTCACAGACTGTCCCCAAAGTGCCAAGTGAGAGGTAGAGGAGACGAACTTGTTCTATTTCAGCTGATTCATCATTTTATAACAGATCAAATTTAACCTCAGGTATAATTATAGTAGAGTGAAAAATAGAGTATAATTGGTATAGAAATATTAGAATTCAGTCATGGCTTAACAAATTTTAGCTACCAAACTTTTGGGTGGGTAAATCATTTTCTCTTTCATCTATGATGCACTTATTCATAGATTAGGGATAATAAACCTAACCTGCCAACTTTCCATTTATTGTGACTGTTAAATAAGATACTGAACAAGCAAAGGGTTTATAAATTTGTTATAAATGACATTTAAGAAACCACTCTAACCATTTCATATCAGAGCTAAATCCTGTTAAGGAATATTACAGTTGTATTGGGGTCAAAGAGGGTAGAAAATACACAAATTGAAGCCACAGGGAAATGTATGCCATTAAGAATTTTCTTGGAGCAGCTCTGTAAAAATAGACATGTATTATTATATTTAGCTCAATCAAGAGACAGTGGGTCAATTCATCTGCCAGAAAGCCGCTTCAGCATGCTCCAGGCAGAGCTGTACATAGGTGGATGTATTGGCTTCAGTGCCAACCCTGAGTTCAACCATTTTTTCATGTCTCTGGTTCCTGAACTCTTCTGTCCTCTCTCTTGATCTGTGATTCCAGGCAGATCCAAGGTTACCGGTAATTTATGTAAGCCACTCCTAAATTTCAAACTTATTCTAACAGTCATGGAGTTCAGGCCTTCCTTTCTAGGAACAACTAATATTTACAACAGTGGATAAATTAACATTTAAATAGTAAATGAATAATAATCCCATGGGACCCAAAGAGTAGCCCACTGAGGCAACAGAATCAATGTATTTCCCCATTTTTTTCATGCTATAGAATAGGTCATGTATTTTTTTTTTGAGAGAGAGAGAGAATTTTTAATATTTATTTTTTAGTTTTCGGGGGACACAACATCTTTGTTTGTATGTGGTGCTGAGGATCAAACCCAGGTCGCATGCATGCCAGGCGAGCGTGCACCACTTGAGCCACATCCCCAGCCCCGGGTCATGTATTTTTAATTGTAGTAAAAAAATTTTGCCATTTTAGCCCCTGTTAAGTGTGCAATCTGATACTTAACATTAAGTATATTCTCAATATAGATCTCCAAAATTATTTCCTCTTGCTGAACCTAAACTCTATGCCCTTTAAACACCTCCTCTTTCCCCTTTCCTCCTAGTCCCAGGTAACCACTCTTCTTTTTTCTATTTCTATTAATTTGCTTATTTTAGATCCTTTATAGAAGTAGAACCACATGATATTTATAACTGGCATATTTCATTTCGCATAATGTCCTCAAGTTCATCCAGTTGAAAAGTGTATCAGAATTTTCTTTCCTTTTAAAGGCTGAATAATATCCCACCAAATAGATATACCACATTTTGCTTCTCCATTGAGTTGCTTCCCTTTTTTGGCTCTTGTGAACAATGCTGCTCTGAGTAGGGATATACCATCTCAAGTCCCTGCTGTCAGTTCCTCTGAATATATACATAGGGTATCCTAGTTTTAATATTTTGAGGAACCCCGGTACTGTATTCCATAGCAACTGCACCACTTTACCCTCCCACCAACAATACAGATTTGCCCCCACCCTGCAGCTGAGGAAGTCAAAGAGAAGTGGCGCATTAGGGGCCCTGGCTAAGCCCTCGCCGTTCCTGGCAGACCCCTACTACACTCTGGAGTGGGGATCCAGGGTCTAAAAATGATGGGCGTGCAGATCTGGCCTGGGGTGCACAGCCTGCAGACGCCGCTCCTTCCGCGGAGGCTGCAGGGCTGAAGCCTTAACCCCCCTCCGTCCCCTGCAGCCCCAGCCGCCCCGGAGCGCGGGCCGTCGGGGAAGCCGAGGGCGCTCCGCAGGTGGAAGCCGGCAAGAGGCTGGAGGAGCTCCGCCGCAGGCGCGGGGAGACCGAGAGCGAAGAGTTCGAAAAGCTCAAACAGAAGCAACAGGAGGCGGCCTTGGAGCTGGAGGAGCTGAAGAAAAAGAGAGAGGAGCGAAGGAAGGTCCTGGAGGAGGAAGAGCAGAAGAGGAAGCAGGAGGAAGCGGACCGCAAGGCCAGAGAGGAGGTAGGAGGCGCCGAGCTGCCCCGGGTTCAAGTGCGCAATCGGCCTCGCTGTGCGCAGGGCGTGGGCTCAAACCTGTAGAGTTTAGCCAGTTCTCATAAGAACTCTATCTTGTGGGTGCCAATCCCCATTTTTCAGATCAGGAAACTGAGGCACACTTTTTATAATTTTGCTCCAAGTCCCATGTGCCTTCTAATCAGCCCCTCGTCCTATTTGCTTCTCAATAAGGAACAGGGAGAAAACTCAGATGCAAACTAGGTACAAGAATTAGGTTACACAATAGTTGTTTCCTAATACTTGAAAAGTTTTTGTAGAGAAGATTTTTTAAAAGTAGATTAGAAATTAGTAAATAGGCAGGATCAGTATCTAATCTACTCACTGCTGTGTACCCAGGACCCAGTACAGAGCCTGATACTACTCCAAGAGCCCTGTCATTACGAACAGATGAATTTGTTCCATCCTTTAGACAGAAATAACAGTTAAAGTTGCAGTGAAGAAAACTTTAGCTCAACATATGAAAAAATGCTTACCCAGCTACAATTTATATTGCTACAGTTTACAAAATACATTCTTTCTTTTGATCCTGGGGTATGTTCCCATTTTATGAACAAAGAAATCAGGAACCAAACAGTTTGAGTGACTTCTTTGAAGATTCTTGACTGATAAGTGGTAGAATCAGTCGTAGCTGGGATCCTACTTTTTCAACTCTTAAGCCTAGAACTTTTTGAGATAATGATCTCTCATCCTTCAAAATATGCAGAAAATATTTCAATGACTTTCTGACATGAATTCTATTCACATAGTTTTCCTAAACTATGTGAAAAGTTTGGATAAAACATTCCACGGTCAACTTTGAATAAGTCAAGAAACTTTGATTGGAAAGTATTTGTGATGTTAGAGTTTTATAATGAGACATACCTGAACTTGTATCCTAACTCTGCCACTTAAGAAGCTGGGAACTTGGGAGACTCTGTCTTGTTTTATCTGTGAAATAATATCTACTTGGCAAGTTTTTCCTGATGACTAAATAGATCATTGTCTTCACAGTGCCTGGCCCCAAATAGGAACCCCAAAAGTGGTAGTTATTATTATTCTTATCATTATTACTATGTTGCTTAGAAGAGGAGAGTATCAGGAAAACAGAGGGAAATCATGACCTCTTAGAACTGGATTACACTTGGAGGGTTATTTTAGTCTAAAGTTCTACCAAAGCAAAACACTGGATCCTTCTGCAACATCCTCTGCTAGACGGACATCAGTCTGTGCTTGAGAACACCAGTGATAATGATTTCATGGTTTGAAAACAACAAAAGACTGCCTAAATCCCTCAAGAAATCATTCACACAAGACAGGCAACGTGATCAGAAATCTGAATTTTTTGCCTGATAAAGGACAGAACTGAGTGTTCTAGGCCAGGAATAGAGGCATAGAGGGGTTCATGAGTCAGGTTATAAACATCTGAAATTTCACCACTAAGTCTCAATATGGGCATCATTTTGGTTTTGTCAAACCATCTAAAATATTACATAATCAATAACTAAACAGAGGGCTAAAATGTAAATGTATTCAGTTGAGACCAGGGGCAACCCTAAAACCATCTCGTGCAATTTGGTTAATGTAGTACCATGGATTTATTAAATTTTTTGCATAAATGTTCTTGTTTTTAACAAATCTTCTAGGAAATAGATGGGAAGGATATTTGTGTTTGTTGCATTTATACAAAAATGAAGAGTCGGTATTAAATGACTTACAGGATAGTAAGGCTAATGCATCCCTTTAAGGGAATCGACCATACTGAGCATTAATCTCCACATTTTAAGTAGCAGATGTTTAGTGTCTACTAGGAATCCTCTCTATTTTTCAGATGAAGAAACTGAAACATATAGCAGATAAATAACATGGCAAAGGACACACAGTTGCTGGAGGGGGAGTCTGTTGCCTTGGCTGGTGTTCTTTCTCCCAGAACACTCTTCCCCTTCCCCTGAAACCGGCCCTGAAGTCCTTGTTATTTGTTCTTTCTGTCTTAGGAAGAGAAGAGGAGGCTAAAGGAGGAGATTGAGAGGCGAAGGGCAGAAGCTGCTGAGAAACGCCAGAAGATGCCCGAAGATGGCTTGTCGGACGACAAGAAGCCCTTCAAGTGCTTCACTCCTAAAGGCTCATCTCTCAAGGTATTTCTCTCCCCTACAAAACCTTCGTATAGTATTCCTCTTCCAACAGAACCTGGCTCTAGGCTCCCGTTTAGTCATGGATCATGTAGGCCTTCCTCTGCTTCATTTCTCTCTTTGCCATCCTTCTGTTCAGACTTCTGTAAGAGGCCTTGGACTGAGTAATTTATGAACAACAGAAATGTCTGGCTCGCAGTTCTGGAAACTGGCAAGTCCAGGTCAAGGTGCCAGTAGATTCAGCAGCTGGCGAAGGCCTGGGCCTCCCAGATGGTGACTTCTCATTGCCTTCTCACAGGGTGGAACGGAAAGGAGGGCCAGTGGTGCCCCCTCCATCTCTTGTGAGCACTAATCCCATTTATGAGGGCTCACCTCATGACCTGGCTACTTCCCTGCCTTGCAACATCAGCACACTGGGGATTAGAGCTCCACACACGAAATTTGGAGGATCTCGAGCACAGTCCCCCTCTTTTTCAGCTATTTCATAGCTTCTCTTGTTTATAACATTTGGAAAGGAAAGAAAGAGGTGAGATTTGTATCTGTTGTTAATGTGGCACTTTGATATACATTAAGATGACATTTGATGATTCTCAATTTCATTGATTCATTCTCTGTGTACTTCATTGCTTTGAGCGATTGAAAATGGAACATTTAAACTTTATAAAATGAGCTTTTAGAGCATTTGAAACTTGAAAAGGGCTTATACTGCTTTGCACACTGGCTTCATCATCTTTAAAAGAAGGGCTACCTTTCATATTTCAGAGCTGTTATCATGGGAAGAGATGAAAAGCGACTTGGATAGGGTCCTTTGCCAGGATGAGTTTGGTCCTACTCTTGCCCTCATGGAGCGGAGTTTCTGTGTGACAGAAGTGCTTCCTAGAGAAGGGAAGGAGCTGAGTCAGGGAGATGATGGAATAGTTGATGTAGGGAAAAGGACAGCAGACTCAGGAAAGCACTATCTGTTGCTTATAATCAATGTCATGTATCTTTTGTTTTGAGGGTTAACATTTAATTGAGCACCTAGCACAGTGCCTTGCATAATGAAGATACTAATTAATATTTGTTAAAGGAATAGATCAAAGAATGAATGAATCTTGAGTGAAAATTTTACATTTATTCTATCCTCATTTTCCATCAGCCTAGCTAGGTTACAAAGTATCAATAAGAAGCAAAGACAGCATATAATTATAGCCAGGCTCCAGTGGTTGAGGGTGTTCGATGAGATCATGTGATGTAGCACTCAAAAACGATGAAAACCAGTTACTTACATTTTAATAGTTATTACTTCTTCAGATGAAAATCAGAATATTTTATCTTCAAATAACTTCACTTAGTCTTTATGATGGTCTGGTTCCTTGTCCATCTGGGTCCCAAATTGACCATAATCATGCAACATACCATGACATTTTGGCCAATAATAGACTGGATGTTCAGTGGTGGTCCCATAAAATTATATCACCTACTTACATCATAGCTGTCTTGTTTTTGTTAAGTATACTCTATCATGTTCACATAACAATAAAATCACCTAATTGTCATTTCTCAGAGTGTATCCCTTACTTTAAGAAAAACATAACAATATTTGTATTGGAACCCTCATCTTGAGGTCTGTTTCAGGGAAAAATCCTAATTAAGCCACAGAGGAATTTTGTTATTTAGTACTTGGTATTTGTCATATACCTCATGTGTGCTGTACACCATTGAGAAAGAGCAGTATGAAGCAAGTTGCAGGCCCTGTGAAGCTAATGTGACTGACTAACTCACAGGAAACAATTCAAGAATTGCAGAGGGAACCAAATGCTAATCATTGAGACCTCAGCAAAGTAGAAGAAGTAGAGAGAGGCTTCATGTGGTAGACAGCTTTATTTATCAGCACTGAAATTTGAATTTCATAGTTTTCTTATGGTAAAAAATATCATTCTTCTTTGGATTTTTTGCATTTAACAATGTAAAAAATTATTCTTATCTTGAGAGCTAGGCAAAAAACACAGACTGCATTATTCCCACTGGGCGAATAGGCCCTGGATTGCAGGCCAGTCTCTAGAAGAAAAAGGAAAAAGGAGAAAGTAAATAACTTCATCAGTTCTGCCTATCTCTGTCTGTACAGTCCCCAGAGTCCAACTGCTCCCAGTCTGGGTCTTTTGTTCCTGGCTCAACCAAGGAGAAAAACCATACTCTGTCTTTCTACTTTCTTTAAGATCCCCCTCCAGCTGAGCTTTCCCTGAACAGTCTTGATAACGTGAAGAAACCAGTGGTTCTATAGGCTTCCAGATGCTACTCTGTTTTCCAGAGAAACTACAACTCTTGTCTCTCTTCTTTGATTAGCTCCTGTTGGCCAAGTGCCTCGACTTCCTTATTCCTGGTCTTTCCCTCAACTCCACACCTGGCTTTCCATTTCATCTAGCTCTCCCCAAATCCCTTTATCAACTCCCTCTGGTAAAGAAGCATGTGTAAGCAATCAATTAGAGAAGATGTTTTTTTAAAAAAAAGATCAAGACATTTATTAATTTCTTCATAACAGGGTTAGGCACATTGCTATTTGATATTATCAAATAATATAAAATATTTAATATTATTAAATATTATCAAAAAATGTATTTTTTTAATTTCTCATGACTTCTGTTATCTGAGAAGCTCAGAAACTGGTCTCATTGTTAAACTATGTTAGCAGTGAGTAATTTTTATACGTAAAACAAGCAAAGAATAAACTTTAAATTAATTTAGAGGTTTGTATAATTATTACTGTTTTCATGTATTGATAGTGAAGCATGGAATAGTATCAATTTTCTAAACTTTGATGGTCTCTATATAATCTCTTCTCAAGACAACACTGCCATCTCGTGGTCTTTAGAGAAATTTCCCTGGTTAACTGGTCGGACATTCAATAGAACATTGAATGTACAAATTCCATGCAAATCGTTTCATTCCTTTCAGCCATTAAGTTATGGCATTTTCCCAACAAGAGGGAATCCATAGGATGGTGAGTCCCAACAAAACACAAAGAGTCGAGCTGGATAAGCTATTCCAGAAACAGGAGGTGGGATTCTGAGCACCTTGGATGTGAATAACTGTGATGGCCAAAGTGAGAAGGATGCTCCCTGAGCTCTGCCACCACCATGAGTTCTTCAGCTCCACCTCACCACCTGCCCCAACTCCTTGAACATGAATTTCTTTGTTAAAACTGTCCTTTCCCCTCGAACCTGAACTTCCATTCTCACTTTCATAAATTCAATCATGAAACTGTGAAAACTACAAACTGAAAGTATCAAACTACTGAGAAGCCTTCTCCAACTCCCCCCAGATACTTGCTTGCCTTAGACATACCATTTTGTTCTTATCTTTAATAGGGTACCTACCATTGGTTTTTTAACATTCTGTTTATGTGCTTTATATTCTTCCCTACTAAATTTGTAAAAAAAGTCCTTGTCTCTTAGTCTGCTCAGATTGCCATAACAAAACCCCATAAACTGGTTTATATATGCTAGATGGGCCATTCAGTGGTCTTTCTTTCTTTTTAAACTACAAACTTCTTTTTGCTACTAAATCAACATTGTATGTCACTGAAACTTTATCACTTAAATTCATACATTCTTTATAAATCAATAAATATTTGTTGACTCCATGTGGTACCCAACTCGAGACTGGAGATGTTCTCTGCTACACATTGTCCATCAATATTAGCAAATAGTACAGATCTCTTGATGTATGACTGCCTGTTCCAAAGCACACATGTGCTGAAAAGTTTTTGTGTTCTACCCTGTCCAGGTCAGCCTCAGAATCACCTGGACGATAGTTACCTACCCTAGGCTGATGTGGTTGAATGTCCCTCATCTCAATCAGTTTAGACTAGAAAATTACTATAGAGTGAGTGGCTCAAAAAACAAACATTTATTTCTCAGTTTCGAGGCTGGGAGTTTTGAGATCGATGCCAGCATTGTTGGGTTCTGGTGAAGCTCTCTTCCTTCTTTACAGATGGCCAAAGAACAGACGGAGTAAGCAGGCTCTCATGTCTTCCCTTATAAGGGCACTGATCCCATTCCTTAGGGCTCCAACTTCATGACCTAATGACTTCCAAAGAGCCTCACTTCCAAATGCCACCACATGGAAGTTTGGATTTTAATGTATGAGTGATTAATTTGACAGTCATTATAATATTTTAGAAGCACTTTTATTATCTGATTCTTAACTTGCTTCCCACACTTTGTAATTCTCTACTTATTTTCACTATCCTTTGCCAATCCTACCTTCACCTCCCAAATCTCCATCAAATGCCTTATTTGTATTTTCCCCAGCTGAGCTGCTGCAATATTGTCCTAATATCTTTTATACATTCTTTGGTATTTTTATTCACCAGGTTCAAGAACAATAGTAGCATGGGCTAAAAATATTAACAGGATTTATTTTCTTTTTCAATTCCTAGATAGAAGAACGAGCAGAATTTTTGAATAAGTCTGTGCAGAAAAGGTAAATATGGTTCAATTGGGAATAACTAGCTATTATATACATG